TTTTAAGGCCTGTGTCCACGATGCTAGAACTTGGTCCAAGTTCTAGTTTCGAGAAACATGTGGCCAATCAACTTGCAGCTATTCCATAAAAGCTGCACGTTGATTGGCCACACGTTTCTCGGAGCTAGAACTTGTACCAAGTTCTAGCATCGTGGACACAGACCTTTAGGCACGGGCGCTGTATGGTTCATTTGACAAACATGGTTTTGTTCTGCCCGCATATTATAGCTTACGTCAATTTTCTTCCTGACATTCTTTTTTTATATTACGAGGATGGTAGATCATTAATGTTATTCCTGCGATTAAACGAATTTCACTGCAGACAAGTATTACAAGAATACGATAGCTCGTATTCGGAAGCTGCAGCTAGAAATTCGAAGATGTTACGATGGACAATACCGTTGGACCCATCCTCCCCGGAGAAACCAGTTTTCGTAATCTGTAACAGGTGCCAGGTTCGAAGCTTGGGAAAGGTCTACGAGAGAAAAGCAGAATCCGATAAACACGTCTTTATACTTAATCTAATCGCTGTGCTGCTTCTGAAAGTTACGTGACTTTTTCGTGCGTCAAGCTTCGAAATAGCGCCATAAATATAGCGCTGGCTTGTTGCAATTTTCGTGGCGGCCCAAGTTTTTACCGAACTGTTTAGAAGCGATAAAGAAATATGTCAAACAGCAAGTCGAACGGAGAAAAGTATTGGCCAAAATCGAAAACACATTGCGTAAAATGATCCATTGCGTCTCACCTATGACGCGCTTATTATTTCAACTTGAATTTTAGAAACTTCAGCATTTTCTGGACATATCTGGCATTTTTAATAATATACAGAAAATTGATTGCGAAAAAGATTGTCTCAGCCAGGGTTTGAACCTCGCGGCAAATTTTCTGTATGATTAAAAATGCCAGGTATGGTCAAGAAAATACTGAAGTTGTTAACTACTGCCGGCGACTTGAAGAACAATCTTATTGGTCGAATTTTAAACTTTACTTTAAATGTACAGCATTATCGTGTATAAATATTGTAACGTTTGTCCGCAAGAAATTAAGTCATCGCGTTCGCTCTACTGCCATAAGAAAAGTTCGAGTGTCCATTTACCGCACTGGATATAATACGACCTGCTTACATTAGTCGAAATTTAATTTAAGGCTCGCGCACTGCTGTCGAATATGCGTTCTGACATGCGAGACTCGCGAGAAATCAAAACACACGGCGGGGATCGCCGTGATAAATATTTATGAACCACGCGGTTTAAACGAACGCAGGCGAAAGGCGATACACGTTGTGTCGTCACTTAAATGGCACGTAGAGACGTCAAGTGCACGTATGTGCACTGAGAAACGGTCGCCGTAAATTGCAACTCGGTGAGGTAAAAAGAGACTCGTGCCGATACGACGTTAGTTCCCGATTTGCTTGACGATCGATTGACGATGTCCCGTTGTGCGTTTCAGCGTGGAGCGGGAGGCGTCGAAGAACATCGAGGAGAACGAGCGAGAGTGCTTTAAAGATGCGATTGTATCGAGTCGGAGCCTCAACAAGGGTTTCGTCGAGCCGACGAACCTTAGGAATGCCATCCGAGAGGTACCAATTATCTCACGAGGGATAATTATTGTTCTTCACTTTAGGGCGGCGGCACGTTTCCTACGCGGAAATGCTTTCCGAAGGCCGTGTCCCTCTGATTAAAGATGCGCGAACTAGGGCTGCATTCGGGAGCTCACCATCAGCGCTACTTAACGCTGAAAGCGTCATTCTATCTTCATTGCCCCCATTATGCGCCGAAGAAATATAGGGCGACGCTCTCAGCGCTAAGTAGCGGTGATAACGAGCTCCCGAACGCACCCTAGGTTCGAATACTAATCGAATCGAGCCGGGTGAGATTCGAGTTGAATTTGAACTTCTGTCGTTCGAACGTGAGCTATTCGAACATTTCGAATCTAGGTAGTTTCAATCGTATGTAATATATTTGCAGGGTGTTTTGTAATACCCGCCTCACCTCTGATTTACGAATAGAACGGGCTAGAGTCGAAAGGTCCTGTACCATTTTGCAACTTTCGCAATAGTTAACGAGTTATTAATTATTAAAAATCACTGCCTTAGCCCGGCCTAGCGCGCGAGGAGTTGCTTATTATACGTAGTCGTATGTCATGAACAACTCCCCGAGCGCCTAGCAACGCCGATCGCGGGACGGCCGCATCTCGCCGTGCGCTTGAATTGAACAGTGGACCGGGCTAAGGCGGCGATTTTTAATTAATAACTCATTAACCATTGCGACAATTGCAAAATGGTGGAGGACTTTTCAACTCAGTCTAACCCGTTCTATCTGTAAATAAATGGTGAGGCGAGTATTACACGACACCCTGTATATACATAGTCAATCTTATAAAATCATATTTTCCGATAATCAGCAAAACAGTGCGTGTTAATAGATGCATTCGGTACTACAACCACTCACTGAGCGATTAAGTAGCGGTAAAATGTGGTTAACGCTCACCTTCGGATCCGAGCCAGTGTTGATAATAAAATGAAGCATTTTCTCGCGTGTTTCGCGGAGCTTACAATTAGACACGGAGTAGAAAAGTAGCGAGCCAAGGCGAAATGTTCGTGGAAGTTGTACACATCGCTTTTGAACCTTCGCAGATCGTTGCCTGCATCGTTGCGGCGTCTTTCCACATAGCGGTAGGCTTTACCATGGCATATTCAGCAACTCTCATTCCTCATCTTGAGAAAGAAGGCGCGGAGTTGCATGCCACGAAGGAGCAAACTTCCTGGATAGGTGAGATTTCACAAATATGTATATGCGTACGAGGTCACGCGATAACAGAGGAGCGCACGGCATTATTCCGTCAAGGAGATTACGCGCGCAATATCGATTGAACCAATGAGAACAGAAACGAGTCATTTTGGCCCAAATTGAATTTAACAATGGATCTCTGCTCCAGCATAAAACTAAAGTATTAGAAAGAAATTTTCGAACGAAAACTTATTTTAACGAGCCCTCTCTTCAAAATAGCGTAAAACCAATTGAAAATTCATACGCTTATAAAATAGTTTTTGTTTTCCTCAAGTATTCCCACACAGCAAGATATATCAGATATCATTTCGCCGATCATATTCGAGAAAACTCGTAAACGATATATCCTAAATATTTTAAGGATATCACACTTCTGATATCTCTTTAAAAAAAATATTGCTTATATTTTTATTATTTGTTTCGTTCTTAAATAATTGTTTATTATTTGACTTGTCCTCAAAATAAGTTTTAGGCTTATCTATTAAAAAAGAAATGGTATGATTAAAAAAAATGAAAAAAAGATTATTCCGAATGCATATTCCAAAGACATTCTCGACGAAAATTCCAAAAACGTTCTTCCTTGTTATGAATATACGATTTCTAATTGTAATAATCTATATATATTTACAGAATAATTGATTGGAATATTCCGAAATTAAGAATATTTGCACCCCAGAAGAATATTCATGGAACTATGTGAGCTATCTGGGATATCACAGATGACAAAGTCATGACTTTAGAATCTGGAAGACGTCTCACAGATAACCAAGTGACATCCGAATAGGTTTTTGTATCAGATATTGTAATATTTAGATATCTCCTAGACATTTTTTGCTGTGTGGGTTTGACTTTGTCACAGGTACCCTTTCTGCCCTAACCGACTCGCATTACGATAACCGCTTGAGCTCCTTCCGTGAATAATGCACATATTAAATACGTGGAACAATGACGACGCGAGATAAGCTACTATGTAAACATTACGATATGTTTATCGTAAAATGGATGAGTATTGTAAATACGCAGTCATTATTGATATCATTAACAGTTAGCTGCCTTCCCTATCGAAGTGTCGAGAGTATTACGTAAAAGTTGTAATTATCAGGAGAAAACCATACGTGCACGTCGCCGTGCGTGTCTGTTGCACGAGATGCCTGATGCCAGTTGCCTGATCGATCATCGTGTTCTGATTAAATTCGCGTTACGCAAGATCAATCTGTGCCCATCGGCATCGCAATCTTCTCGCGGCAACGGAAGATTGTTTTCTTCTACAATAGATACATTTTCAGTCTCGAATGCAGACGATCGTAGTCCACAATCCCAATCGAGATGTCTCTTATTCGTAATACTTTGTCGAGTCGTGTGCAAAGAATTAAAAATGGCTGTCTACGATTAGCCGGAGAAAGTATCTCTTTTGTAACCGAAAAAAGAGTCCGGGATTTGTAACGTAAGAACGAATTCTTTTTGAACCCTCGAGATTTTTAAAACGGAAATGGATAGGGGAAAGCATATAGCTCCGAAAGTCAAAGAGAATTCTTTTTCTATCCGGGAGTCCTCCTTACTGTAAAAGTGCGCCGGAACGTTAATAAAGCGAGGTGTACAAAGTATAAAACGAAAAGATACGCGTGAATTAAGGACCGAGGGCGTAAAATAAATGAGATCGATGTGATTCTCAGCCAGCCTGGCGGTCGTGAGCGCGCCGGTTGGTGCCGTATTAGGGGGCTTCCTGATGGAGACGTTTGGCCGATTGAAAACCCTGCAGATCGGCGCGATTCCCTCCGTGATCGGCTGGATCCTCATCGCCTGCTCGACAAATATACCGATGTTGCTGGTCGGTCGTTTGTTAACCGGACTGGCGACCGCCCTGGCGACCTCGCCAGCAATCGTCTACATCACCGAGGTGGCCAGGCCGGAACTGCGCGGCTCCTTGATCTCATTCGGGCCGACGCTGGCGTCGTTCGGCATGGTGCTGTGTTATGTGAAGGGTGCTTACCTGCACTGGGACATCGTCGCCTGGCTCAGCATCATCTACTCGATCGTGCCCATCATATTGGTGCAGCTATTCGTGCCCGAGTCGCCCGTTTGGCTCGTCTCGAAGGGCCGCATCGACGACGCCAAGAAGTCCCTGGAATGGTAAGTCCAACCTGGTTATTAAAACTGACAAAATTCTTACAGACTTGAAATAGTATAAAACTAACGAGTACTAATGCTCTCGCCTCTCGTTTGAGAACAACCGACGAGATGGTTAACGTAAATGCTCATCGAGATGAATTTCTAGGGCTTTCTACTAACAACAAGACTCTGCGATCTTTTCGATCTTCTTATTCTTAAAATACACGTGAATAATTGACGACTCTGATGCTGCCCGCAGGCTTTACAAGAACGAGGTATCGGAGAGCAAGACATCGGTGGCCGAGGTGCAATTTATCACTATTATGAAGGAGAACGAAATTAAACTGAGCGAACAACGGCGAAGCAAACACGGCACTGCGTCCAGCAAATGGCGGGGATTCCTCAAACCGACCGGATGGAAACCCATGGCGATACTCTTCCTGCTCTTCTCGTTTCAACAGTTCTCCGGAATTTACATCACGCTATTCTACGCAGTGACTTGGTTTCAAGTAATTAAACAATATCTGTATACACTATATACAGTTTTAAGCATCTTATGCTTTCTCGTATTTTGTACATTGGATTCTATCAAGATTTATATATATATGTATGTAGTGATATTTAATTTTATTTGTCGATGATCGATTTGCATAAATTGGCAATCTCGACGCAGTAAGACCGGATATCGAACCTACTACTATTTTCAGGAAGTGGGCTCGGGCGTGAATGAATACATAGCGTCGATTTTGGTGGGCGTCACGCGCTTCCTGTGCTCCATGGTGAACACGTGGCTACTGAGGCGGTACAAGAGACGAATATTGTGCATAATATCGTCTTTCGGGATGGCTCTGTGCATGATTGTCTCCGGTTACTACACCTTGAACATCAAGAACGGCGATCGCAGCGGGTATTGGGTAAGTTCCGGGGATCACCCCTCCTTGTGGTTTTATGAAAGTTAATTCTTTTGCGGATGATTGAGTACAATTAAGACACGTGTGGAAACTGTGACGTAACGTTCGCAGGTACCGGTGGCTTGTCTGTTACTCTACGTATGCACGTCGATGATCGGGATGCTGACCATTCCGTGGACCATGACGGCGGAATTGTTCCCGACCGAGATCCGCGGGTTCGCCCATTCCGTCAGTTATTCCATAGCGAACCTGCTAATGTTTGCCGCGTTGCAGAGCTACAGAAGCTTGCAGACTTTCCTAGGAGGTACGACACTCGGAATATTTACATCTCACACGTATAATTAATGTCATCATATCTTGCCCGTCTCTTTCGTGTTCTAATTAGTTTCGTGTTACTTAACATTTTTCATTCAACTTTCCTTTTATTATATCTAAAATCGAATCTCGATGCTCTTGCTCATTTTTCGAGGACAAAAATTAAGGCTCGCGACTTCCGTATCTCAAAATTAAGGCCCTAAAACTAAGGCGCTTTCTTCTGTTTCAAGGTTCATACGCGGTGCAGTGGTTCTTCGCCGGCGTCTCCGTGGGAGCGGCTATTTTCGTGTGGCTAATGCTGCCGGAGACGCACGGGAAGAAGCTGTCGGAGATCGAGGAGTACTTTCATAATAATTTCCTGGCCCTGGGAGCGAAGAAGAAGGACAGAATACGGCAAGCCGCGAGGAGGGCTCAGCAGAACACGAAATCACCAGCGACCGAGCCGCTCAATCCGAAAACCATATGCAATGTTTAAGAAGCTCGCTCTCTCTCTCTCTCTTTCTTTCTCTTATTTTCCTTTTCGCTCTTTTATTATAATTGGCAAATTTTGTATGAGAGTTTTTAAGTTGTCTCGAGAAAATGAAGGAGAAGCATTAGACACTACTCACGCAACTAGTCTCGATTCTTACGCGACGGATTTTCAAATAACTTCACGCCAGAAATATATTTGGATACGCAAAATGCCATTTTGATACTGATGATATAATTATTATAATTAATCAGATTTATTCGTTCGACGTGAATCGCATCTGGCGAAACAATCGACGGGAATGTTCGAAAGAGTGCACAACTTTACGTATGGAACGGTGAATAAAGTTCGACGTTACAACTCGAATACGATGTCGTTGCTTTCATTTATTCTCACTTGTTGTTAAACAATTCAAAATTGATCTAAACGCTCACGCGTGACATGCATTTCCATTATCGTGAATGTACACGATAAAGACGAAGGCGAGTGAAAAAATTTTCAATCTTCAATGTTCCGCTCGTGGCTGGATTAGAGCTGATAAGACACGTCGAGATATAATTACGAGAGAGAAAGAGAGAAAGGTAATAATATCGCGCGGAGAAGAACGCGAGAGCGTTCGAACATAGTGCCTCCAATTTTCCTTTCGACAATTGCACGCGAGAGTTATTGTTACAGTATTATGTTGCCGATCTGATGTCGCGTAGGTTTATTATCGCAGAATCGATCGCGATAAAGGATTCTCCGTTTTTCCAATCTGTCGCTCGATTTTGCCATAGCTTTTTACTTCAACGGCGGACCTCGAGAAGAGATTAAACCACTTACAAACATACCATAGGCAATTTCAAATAGTGAACATATAGCAAAATGAATAATCACAAATGTTCAGATTGCTTCTGAAGGAGCAGAGCTACGCAAGCTCGCTGTGATCGAGTTTACTAAGCGGATTATCTGTTCACGTGTAGCGCCGTTTACTTAGAGTAGATACTTAGATCATTCAAGAAGTATTAGTTTCATTTAGCATCTTTAAGTATCATTTAGACGGAGCGAAACATTGTTCGAAAAAGTAACACTTGCAACAGTGACTGCAAGTCTTCGCGGGATTTGAAAAATATTCATATTCCATTCATCAATACCGTGCAGATAAATTTCAAGGAAAAAGAACGACATGGGCATAATCACGTTTGACACTCACGTTTCAACGATAAGACATGTAATTAAAAAAATGACTACATTGTAATTTAATTAATTGAATAGTAATTCAATAACTTGTTGCGTGTATCAGATGGCCTTAAACGATTTTGAAAGAGCGTTCCGTCTAAATAGACTTTTGAAGGAGAAACCGTCGAACAAACCTGTAACGAACGGCACTGGTCGTCAGAAGGATCGGCGGGCCGAGCTATATATTTTTATACGTTTAAATATGCCATATACGAATGTGATAAGCTACAATAAAAGACGTACCTCCCATGATTTCCGGCTTGCGCTGGCGACTCGGTGCCGTTCACCGGCGCTTTTGCAGGATACGTTTCATCTCCGACCGATGGACTGGTTTCATCGCAACTTATGGATTTATAGTTGATATTCATTGACAGTATTCATAGTCTGATTTTTGCAAGAATATGAATCTACTTGAATAACATATATCTGATTGTTTCGATGAGAAGAGCCGATGAAGCCAAGCTCGATGCAACTGGCCATCAACGAATCTACTTTTATCACATGTGATACCATTTTCTCGACCCTTGTTTTTCTTGTTTCCGGCGAAAAATGGACGAGCTTCAATATCCGATTTATCCTTAGCGTGGAACCTTCCGGTATTTGTCTCTCGGAAGATCTTTTTGCGAAATGATTCCTTTTTACAGCGAAACAAATTCTTATTTAAAGATCGGGTAATTATGCATAAAAGGGGCCTCCCCTCCGATTTTATTAATTTTTTGAATATGTTATTGGGGGGTCTTCCCGAGTAATTTCATATATATATGTATACACGTATATGTATATATATGTATATATACACTATATATATATATATAAGGGTTGGACTCAATTACAATAGTTTCGAAGATATAAGCTAAAAAGGATAAAAAAATAAGTATTTGATAAGTTTTATCTCCGAAACAATTTGAGTCAGACTCTTATATATGTATATGAAATTACTCGGGAAGACCCCCCCCCCCCCAAGAGCATGCTAAAAAAATTAATTAACTCGGAGGGGAGGCCCCTTATGCATAATTACCAAAGATCGTATTGTACAAGTCTCCGAAGAGCTGGCGCGACATGGTACCAGGTGCCATTGTCGCAAAAATGAATTTGGAACAAAAGAGAGATTTCCCTCGTTTTCTCCTCGTTCTGCCGCTTTTCCTCGTGTATACGTGATGATATTTAGATCGATATACATCGTTTCGTTACATGAGCTTTTACTACACTGTACATGGATGCCATTGTTTATATTGAACAGTTTAATAAAGCGTTTGTAATACAAAGCGCTTGTCCTAGATTGATTATGACCTCATAGATGGTGAAATCGCTCAGAAATTATTATCAATTACGCAATAACGACGAATGCAAGACCAATCGCACAAGATCAATGCGCTAATACTATACCCTCCAAAGAAAGTAAGCCCTAGAAATGAAAAAGTTTCACGACTAGCAAATTTATTTACATTAACATATTAAGCGACTATTTAATAGATTTCGTTAATTTTACATGTTTATACGAGTGGAAATAAAACTATTACGTGAAAAATACATCTAGAAAATGATCTTAAAAGTCACAGCACGAACATAATTCAATTTTTAATTTCTTTTTTTTTTGGAATTAAGACTTTTTCCCTTACAATTAGCAGAGCAGAATTTTTCGTAAAGTCTCGATAAAAAAATGCGGGATTGATTAAAAAGGCCGGGTTGGGACCAAACGTTTATTTCCTCGGGAGATTTTCGCCGCAGCCTGATCGGTCTCGAATGAATCGAGCGAGCGAACAATGACAGAAATCGCTATTGCAATTGCCAAGCTCAGCCATGTACTTAGTGTGATCTTCATTGATACTGAAGCGAGAGAGAGGGGGAGGGAGGGAGGAGAGACGGCATACGCGCGAAATGCGGGGAGCATTAATGACCGGCGTCTCGTAGCAATGCTTTATTATGTCAAGTTGGCAATTACAATAACAATACAGTGTAATATCGTCGCGACGGTGGCTTATTATTCAGATTTATCGGCGTGAAAAAATCTCGAGTTAGGGCTCCTTCTCTTCGCGTTTTGTTCCTCATTATTTTAATTCCTCCTCTCGGGCCTCTCGTCTCTGTTACTCGAGGCTCATCGAGCCGGATTCGCGGACCGGGCGCGAACCGGAGTGCCGTTCGTGCGCGTACATTCGCGTTCGTTCGCGCTCGCCCGCTTGGCTCGGACCCGGCTTCACGTTCCTCGGTATCGCGCGCGTACATCCTGACGCGGGAAGGGAAACGAGCGCGGGAAGAGATGCAACGACGAATGTACGTTCTCGCTGTTGCGAAACGTTCCGAAACGGCCGGGGATCACGGTCGATCGGCGCCTTCCGGGAAGTCCTACAACGATACGCGCGATGAAGAACAGATCACGAGGGTCGGCTACGCGGCTCACCGCGCTCTTTATTTTTATTTTTTCTTAATACGCGACTGAACGTGTAAAATTTTCATGGCAACGCAATAATTAGCACAATAGCGCTCTCCGCTTCGCTCCTAAATAATCGCGCGTACTTTCACGGGGAATCAAATTGAACCTTCTCCGCCGTCGAAGAAGCTCACGTCCAAGGTGTCCGTGGTGACTTCTCGCGTTTCAGAAAAGCAAGCGCGCGCGCGCACGTGGAATTAATATTCCTGTCCGATAGTCGAGCCTTCGAATCGCGCGGGGGAGATGATCAACGCGCCGATCAAAGCGGACGAATGAAATCGCGACTGCCGGATGCGGGGAAAAAAATTGCAAGAAACGCGGTAGCGGTGCACACGTGGAGGGAAGGGGGCGGACACGACAGAAATTCATTATGCGCGCGGGACAGTTGACAGTGGATGTTAACATTGAAATGATAACGCAAGGGGCTTACGTCCTACAGCCCTCCGTGGGCGACCGAACGATCCGGCTCGCGTTCGCGCGAGGAGAAGGGAAGGAGAGGCTGCTCGCCGAGGATCGTTCGTTCATCCCCCAATTCCTCATGTATATCACACACGCATCGAGTTACAGTTACAACGCAAGTCGAGTATAATAATAACGCTCGTAAAACTTAACAGAACAAGCGAATCGATAAACACGATCACCACGCAGAGCCTGGGCTGTGTCAGAGAGCCTCGTATCCTCAGCACGACCAACGCTGCAGGCAGTGACGACGAGCTACCTAATCCGTATATCAATTATCATATATTACGTATAATAATATAATTACACGTTCTACATATTATATATATATATATATATATTGTATATGTATATATATACACAACCGGTACACGTCACACAGGCCATGCCCTAAATCGGTGTGAGGTCAAATGGATCGCCGCGCAAAGTGTTCGGAAAGTTGGAGTTCAGCGCAAGAAGACGAGATTTCGCAGGATGTACATTACAATTACACGTCGTGTATACATATGTGTATATTCGCAGCAGATTTTGCGAATAGACGACCTGCTCGATTCTTGCGGCGAGTCCCTCAAACTTGATACACTTAATTTTGCAGGTGGCCCGTTACACAATTGGCGCATTTGAGCATTCAGCCGCGATTTAAAGGCGCGATTAAAGTCCTTCAATCGGTACGCCGCGCGGAACAGCGATCATTTAAATGCGCAACGAGGATCCGTCTCGTCTCTCCCTACGAGAGCTACCGAACACCATTATTAAACCGTTACTTCTCGACAATAATTTGACAATTCAGCATTTTGAACAAAGTGTCGCACAAGCGCAGAGTAATACACGCGTGTGGAATAAATATCTATTCGTGAAATGTACTTTCGAGATCCTATTCGGAGCGCAGAATGGGAAAAATATCGAGTCCATCTAGAATTTCTCTATGCTACGAGAATAATCGACAAGATCTTTCTCTCCTTCCTTTTTTTTCTTCTCTTCTTTATCGCGAAGCAGTGTTCATTTATACGACGTCGGCAACAGTCAAAGACCACTCGCGTAACTCCCTCCTCTGTAATCTCGACCGTGCTATACGCGAAATTGTTTCTAAGTGATGCTGAAAGACAATCTTCAATCAAATCCCGTCGCGTCGACGCCGAAGGCACCAAGTAAAAGAAATAGTCCGTCTCGCGTTTTCCCTTTCAAATTACTCCTCGCTCTATTCATTCCGGGTATTTTGCGTTTTCTTTGGCACTATTTGGCCGTATTGTATTTCGTAGACGTAAATTATCGCGTCATCACGCTGAATTATCGAGGTATTATCAGACATTCGCATTTTACCATAAATGACTCACGTTTCTCCCTACCTGTTTACGTCCGGTATATTCACATTCACGTCCAACGTTTCCAAAGAAAAAAAAATATATATATTTTATCGACATCTCGTAATGATTCGCCGTGATAAATTTATAATAAAATTAGATTTTATTATCCTTATGTATCGTGACTAAATGTATGTAGTAAGAAAAGGACAAAAGGGGTGATCTACGACGAAGAATATATAATATATAATTTTTTTTCTTATACAGTAAACAGAAACGACAATGGCACAAAGTGTTACTAAACTCGTTACGTTAGCGTTTGATTTAGTGTTCGTTTAATTATTGGCAACGTGATGAATAGTTTAAGTGTTAACGTTAATTTCGAGCAGATCAATTTACTAATCACTGCTACTTTATGCTTGCTTCGTAGACACGCGCTAATCTCTCAGCCACGCAAATCTCTCATTCTCTCACACTAAAATCGTGCTTTTCTCTCGCTCTCTCTCATTCTTTTATATATATACATGTATATATATATGTATATATATATGCATTATTTCTGTGTCTATATGCATGGTTCATCAAAAAAGACTCGACTACCCCGTTTGTGTCTTTTACGTCATTGTGCGTCCTTGGGAATCTGACTAGCACGTAGATTTCAAACGAATAAATTATACACTTTCCACTTTTCCTTTATCACGTGTCGTTGCTGTGAGGTGCGTCACGACGTATTGTCGGACATGCGATTACGCTCGACGCTGAACGTAGATTCGGCACTAAAAGTAAACAAGCATACGATATATTTAACATATGTTGATTAATCCGCGTGATTAGTGTTCGATTGCGCGCTACGAGAAATATTTAACTCATTGTCCGTAGACAGTGATGCTGCATCGCGTTTCCTCAGTTTATCATTTGTCTCGTTGAATTATCAGTTTCTCATGGCTGGCTGGAAGAGGTTCGGAGTCTCCGGGAAAGAAAAGGTGCTTTTCAATCCCGCTGCTTGCGAAAAGGGAAATAAAAGCTCGGCCGTGGCCATATCAACAGAAATACTGTACTTTCTGAATACTGAAGCTCCTCACCATAAAACACACACGGCGCAGCTCGCATAAATTATTATCATCGTATGTACAGTATCGTTGTAAGAAAATTAAAAAAGGCGATTAGCAAAATTGAATCGAGAAGCCATGCACTTGGCAAAGTGAATATATAATATTGTATAATTTCGCGAACAATCTTTCCAGAGTATACCTCGAGCGAGCGTATCACGGAGCAATATTCAAGGACGTATCTACTGACCGAAGTTATGACGCTCGCTTGAACGCGCACTTGTACGATCAATCGTACAGCAACACAACCGTTTCATGCTCGTAAAGAATGAAAGGAATCGTTGAACCGTGTGTTACGAATTCCTTTTGCAAGCTTCACTCTCTTAATGAGAATCAACCTACACGTATAAAACGTCCTTAATATTCTATAAACAAATTCGACAAACGTAACGTCAGAACGATTACCGTCGCGCTGATTCCGCACACATCACCATCGTCTCAGAACAGCGACTCGCACGCCGTCGCGAAGTGACGCACACACACACACGTACACACATACACACACACACGCGCGCGCATACATATGCATGCACACATCAGTCTCTGTCGTATCAAAACTTCCGAGTCATATTGTTAAAACCGTCGACACGTCGACAATCATGACGGATCGGACTTACTGAGGAAGCTAACAAGCATTCGCTCATGCCGCGCGCTGAAGCGGGCGAATCTCTTAAGTATCGCGACCCTGAGAGTCGTGGTATTGGATGTTAGTTTTTTTTTATTAATTCTTGTTACATCGCGGACTCGCAGGCTGACTATTAGCCTGTTGCTGTGCTCGCTGTACGTAAATGTTTAGCAGCTTCAGCTTGCTGGAGTACAGCGAGTTCAGATGTGGCTTCAGCACCTCCTCGCCGACAGCGACGTGGATCGCCACCATGCAGAAGACCGCGCTCTTGCGAACCGCGCTCTCGGTGTCGTCGTAAGCCTGTGAAGAGAAATAAAATTAATATATATCACAAAAAAAATTAATATAGACGTGAAGTACAAGTTTTGCAGAAGTTTACTCAGTAATTATACTGGAAAAACCTTCTTTCGTTAAGAACGTTTCAATAAACGAAGAGCGACGGCTTTTGAAATATTCAGGAGGATAATTTCGATAATATATCGTTGGTTTACCTTTATAAGGCCAGGCATAACCTTGCTAAGATGAGGTTCTATAGCGTCCCGACCCCAATGCTCCACCACCTTGTGCAACATTTTTATCGCGCCCATATTCATCGGATACGGTTCTGTAGCGATTATAGTGGAGACCAAATGGATAATTTGTTCCGGCTTCAAAACCATGGCCATTGTCGCCGCGCACTTCTCCGCGTTCCAATGGACCTGTTATGAACGGCGCCATAGATATAATGATAGCACTTTTAATTCCTGTTAGTTAAAAAGTAAAACGCGATCGATACTCACTGGAGACCTACCGCCGCTGCTGCTGGAAGATTCGACTTTTTGATCATCCGATTTGTAGGCATAGATCACTTTCAGTATTAATAATTCATTGTAAGACGAAAAGCTTTCTACCAGGTCGGGGCATTTAAGCATATCAATTAGCGTTTGCAGCACTTCTACTTGTATCACCTTCTCGTCATTGGATAAGCTGTCTAAGAGAACTTTGAGCACTTTCCTAAAATATTAGACAATTGTTAACATCGCCAGGATTAAGTCGCCGCGTGAGATACGCGCGAATTACAGCGTGACATACTTGAAATTTCGTTTAATGTATGACGGATCGCCCTCGCGGACATACAGTTGAAATTCTTGCAATGCCGTTACTTTGTCCGCAGTTTGTCCAACTTTAGATTGCAGAGCTTTAACTGTATTGTCCACAATTTCTGGTCTGTTTATCAAATCTGGCGATGAACCTGAGTACGAAATATATCATGAGACATTTCGATTTTGTTATACGCAGATCTTGCTGAATTAATAGCAAAATTAAGTATGTACCATGCGTTTTATAACCGTTGTTCTCTTGAGGTAGAATCAAGTCACCGGCAATCGTATCGGATCCGTTCACCGTTATGTTACTAACAGATCGTCCCCGTTGCGTTGGTGAGGAAACCGACGAGGATCGTCCCTGAAAACAATAATGAGGATAGCTGCGGGTTTTTACGGTTGTTTTCTGTCGTGTTTATTTATCTCATCAAGCTTACAGAATTGGATAATGTAAGACCTTCCATTCTTTCCTCGACATCCGCCATATTGCTGATACCGCTGTCTTTGCTGGTAGTGGCTCTTTCCAAACGTTCGAAGCCGTAATTTTGAATTTCGGCGGTCGTACGTCGCAGAGATCTGTAAGTAGAACTTTAAAAGTTGAAGACGTTTCGAAATTATTAAGTCTAAATATAATATTGCGAATGGCGAAACGTACTTGTATACTTCTTCCAGATTTTCGTCTCCTCCATCGATTTCAGTCTTCACATCCACTTTAATGTCGTTTTTCGCTTTCGTTCGAGCGGGCGAGCTCTGCGCTCTGGGCGGCGGCGTACCGGGCGATGCCGGGTTACTAGAAGCGGACGATTTCCTCAGGTGGTTCTGCACCAGAGGCCAGGCTGTTTCCTAAAGGAAGAGAAACAATGATTCAGCGCGAGAGCATGAGGGAAGAAACGCTGACGGATAGACAAATGGTCAATTCATTCAACGCACTTGATAGTATTTTGGTAACTCGGAGAGTATCATAGTAACTTGAGGCGGATTAAGATTGTAAAGTGATATCACAGCGTTCTGCGCGTGCCTCCTCACGTCGTGGCTTTTGCCGTCGTTTGACCAGTCGAGCAGCCGTGCAAGTGCTGTCGCTGCAGAACTGCCTAGCGCGGACGGTTCTGCCGTCTCAGCGATCTGCGTGATAAAAGTCAATGCTGCTACTTTCACGCGAGAATTTGGTGTTTGTGTTGGATCTGTCAGATACCTCATCACAGCCGGTAGGAGCTGTTGGCCCGGAAAACAGTCTCTGGACAAATCATTACACATGTGTAATACGTTGAAGATTTAACAGTTGCAATAAACTTGATAACACAGAAGGTACAGTATTGTGTAAAACTCGTATGAATGCTCACCTCACAACGTCAAGCGTTTTGTGAATTTTGGTTTGTATAGATCCCAACAGATCGGTACCCAATTTATTAAGAAGTCTCGCGCACAAAACATACAGCCAGTCGCCAAGACCTTCGTTATGAGTAATTATTAATTCATTCAACGTGTCCAAAAACAAACTGAACACCTTGGTATGAGAATCCATAAACATTTTCGTAAAAATATCCGTCACTCTACGCAAATCTGTTGCTGTCAACGTATTTCCGCTGCTCAAATAATGTTGTAAACCCACTAAGCCTTCCTTTCTGTCGCCCCAGTGTTTGTGAGCACAGTTTTCAATAATCTCTTTGATGTCCTGTAAAGTGAGAGAAAAAAATTGTTGCTCGTTTCTTTTAAAATTTTTACATTGACACATAATCATATTCTAAAGAAACATTGACGTGAAAAAATAACATAAAAAGGGTCACAAAATAAATGATCTCCTTTTCTAACAACGACATACAATAGCTGTACTGATTAATTTAAAGGTATTTATATAAGTCAGTTTTACTTGAATGTGCAGAAATGAAAAGACAGGAATTTAACAAACCTTCGGGATAGACTGATCCCATAGATCACGGTATAGTCTCGGTTGAGAGCCACTCCATGAGAACGACTAATGGGTAGATGGGCGATGGAGATGTGGAGAACAGAACGGCGTGTCGCGTTAGTCCAAACCAAACAAATACGCCGCAACAAAACAAAAAGTGAAAACCAGACATGCATTAGCTACATCGTCATACAGTGCTAAAAGCTTTATGCATTATATCGGTATTCTCGTTTTCTTCATTTAAGAAAAACTTGGTTCGTTTAAATAATATAAAATAGTAAAATAATTTCATTTTATATTAACAAGAAATTCTCTGTTAAATAATAAAACAGAAATATTCATATGAAATTTGAATATAAATTTTTGCGTGCTATTCATATTAAAATAAAATCCAAGTATCGTGTATAGGCGTTAACTAATCAATTATAAAAAGCGGTAGATCTGTCATCATATCAAAACGTGTGTAAATTTGTAATATTAATATGACACATGAGATAATATACATATGTGTGAAAATGTTGGTCAATTTCTTTCTTGTAAACGCGCGGGCGCGGGTGTGTGCTAGCTTACAAAAATTAATTTAACGCTAAACAATTACGTAACTTCGACTCTGTGACATATGTCTACTTTTTGATCGAAGCAACAAAAATTCAATGCTGAAGCCAACGAGAGTGCGCCACTTTCTTACTTCTCCGATTTACTAATAAAACTTGCACTTACATCACTAGCTCGTCTAAAACTGTCTATGCTTCTTTCGGAACATATGCTGCTGTTTTCGCTATCGTCGCTATGATCCCCTTTATTGCCCGGTATTCTGGTGTAGTTATCGATACTATCAAAGGTCAAAGCGTCCGCCAAAGCGGACTCTGCTTCGCGCGACTTCTGCAGCATCTTCTGCGCCATAACTGGCGGCCTAGTGCTGTCTGTCGGCGACATGTGCAGATTTCTCCCTCTATCGATTCAAGTAATTCGTATTATTATTACACGTTTACAGCACATTTGCAGTAAACGGAATTGTTGCACTTACCTCAGTTTGCTCGCGAAACTCCTGTCCATGCCGAATCTCTGTGGACTGGGCTCGCGACTGTTGCTTGTGCTGCCAATGGCGTGTCCGGATAATCGCCTTGGTCTGCCTATCAGCGATTCGCCTTCGCGATTATACGTGGCGTAGCTTAATCTGGACGACGGGGAACCCGATCTACTACTAGCTGTTGTGGAAAAACAAAAGTTTTCATTCAATATCCATCGTTGCACGTCTCATTGTTTTCAAAGAAAATTATTCTTAAATTTCATAAGTTTTATCGACCTACACTGGCTATAGCGATTTTTGTTGACCGTATCAAGCTATTAAAATTCTTATTGCGAAAAATATTACCCCAGCCAGGATTCGAACCTGGGACCTCCCTACAATCCGTGACGGGCGTCTTAGCCAGCTCGACCACCGGGGCTGTGATAATACTATTCGCAATAACGTGTATATAACTTTAAGATGTTGTTTACGCGTCTTATTTCGACTTTCCAGAAACTGTGCGTCGATACGGATTGTCGACCGCATAATAACCTGTCGATACGCGATTTTTTAGAATTTTTCCTTTTCCCTTCCCTCCCCCTGATCCCATTCCTCCTAACGGAGGAAACCAAGTTTTTGGTCCTTGGTGTAATAATTAATAAATTAATAACATCAGTTGTTGGACACCATTACACAGCCCCACAAAAAAAAAGTGTCGGGGTTCGAGGATCAGAGTATCCTACCCCTATGTATTTTGAGCCGCTGAACACGAATCTGATGTCCGTTTTGCTCCATTACGTCAGGATTTTTTTCTAACCTTAAAAAAAATGGCGAATCTTTGGAGGTATACGAAATTTTTTTTAAATTGATGGATTTACATAAAACTTGGTATCTAGGGTAATTTGGGGTCGCTGATTACGAATCTGAAGTTAGATTTTTAAAATTCAAAATGGCGGATCCAATATGGCGAACAAATTTTTCGAAAATTTGTGAATTTTTAGAAATTTTTTAAAAGTTGATGGATTTGCATGAAACTTGTTACTTAGAAGTTTTTGGGGTCGCTGATTACGAATCTGAAGGTAGATTTTCTAAATTCAAAATGGCGGATCCAAGACGGCGGACATTTTTTAAAAAATTAATGGTTTTTTATGAAACTTGGTACGTAGGGGTTTCTTGGGCCGCGGATTATGAATTTGAAATTATTTTTTCAAAATTCAAAATGGCTGATCCAATATGGATATGACAAAAATTAAAAAAATAATGATTTTTTAAAAATCGGGTATATTGGAGTTTCTAAAGGCGTT